ACTTTAACTGCTTTCTATTGCCATGTACTTTCATATTTCATAGTCTCATAGTCAAAGAGGTTGAGGGCCATTTTCAGGTGGAGAAAACGAGAAACAGAATGAAAGCTATGACCTGGCTCCACGTACAATATTAATTTAGTTGTCAGAGGTCAACTAATATCACCACCACCACCACCACCAACAACAACCGTGTTTTGCACCAAGATCCCACTTTGTTGGATAACCTCTGCTGGATAAGTCCTAAATACTTCTCTCCAGGAACTTCAAGCTACACCATTAATCTCACAGTTTACAAACAGATAGTACAGGTGAAGGAGGTCAAAAGGTACAAACTTCTGGTTACAAGTTCTGGGAAATGTCAAGTCTACCACGGTGACTACAGTTAACAATATTATGCTGTATATCTGAAACCTGCTAAGACAGTAGATCTTAAAGTTCTCATCACAAGGGGAAAAAGTGTTTAACTTTGAGGTGGATGGATATTAACTAAAGCTGTTGTGGTGATCATTTCACAACATACACATAAATCATCATGTTGTATACTTAAAACAAATACAAGATTCTATGCCAATAATATCTCAATAAAACTGGAAAAAAGTGGGCTCAGGATTTTTCATTTCATTAAACAGATGAGAAAACCAAGAAAGAAACTTGTAGCAGAGCCAAAGTCAGAAGCTGGCATAGGTCTCATTGGTCAGGACAGTGTGGTTGACTGGACTGTCCTTTTCTGTCTATGCTTTGCTTGCTGGGACATACTGGTGGCACAGTACTATCAGATGCTATCACACAGTCTGCCAAACATGTCTGCCTGCGTTTCGTCATCTCTGCTTCTCCAGTTTAGTTCCTCTCATGGCCCACATTCAGCCAAGAAAGCACAGGAAAGAGGGAGCTTCGTCTCCCACATCCACCACCCACCAGCGTCATGACTCCAACCTTGCCTGCACATTCGTGAGCCAGTCTGCATCATACCACGTGCTGCATGCTCAAGATTACAGAATTTGGGAGTTGCACATAAGAGAAAAATGAGCATGGTTAAAAATATCAAAGACTGTTTGATTTATGTTCTTTATAGAGAAAATAAGAATTAGCAAGGGTCTAACAACAGTCATGGCTTTTAATGCTATTTAAAAAACCTCCTTTCGTATTTTAAAACTATTGAATGAGGTCCTTTCTAGATTTTTACAATAAATCTGATAGTCCTACAAAGAATGTATTGAAATGTTTCTGATCTACCTATCTCATTACTTAGAAATCTAGAATGAGTGAACAGTATATAGAAGATGCAGTTTCTTACCTATAGCATCCATCTAAGGATGATCACTGCAGGTTTGGGATCCAGGGGCCACTGAAATACTCATTCCCCCCTTGCAATCCTTGCTGCATAGTATTCCCCTTCAGCTACTTGAGATAAGGCAGGAGGGAGGGAAAGTTGGATCCATGTTTTTAACCCCTGCAGCCAGTCTCCTGACACATCCTTCTTTTCTACCCAGCCCTGTTGCTGCCTCCTCTCCTAAGTTCTCACTGCCTGGATGGTGAGGTTTGGGAAGCCTTCTGTTCTTTTTTTTTTTTTTTTTTTAATGTTTTATTTATTTCTAGGAGAGAGAGAGAGACAGAGAGCGAGAGAGACAGCGTGAGCAGGGGAGGGTCAGAGAGAGAGGGAGTCACAGACTCTGAAATAGGCTCCAGGCTCTGAGCTGGCAGTCAGCATAGAGCCCGACGCGGGGCTCGAACCCACGAACTGCGAGATCATGACCTAAGCGAAAGTCGGACGCTTAACCGACTAAGCCACCCAGGCACCCCGGAAGCCTTCTGTTCTATGGTGGATGAGATGCATTCTGGGCCTTGCAAGTTAGAGATGGGAATAGAAATCCACACCATGACAGTGAGAGTCTAGAATGCAAGGACGCTGGGTGCTTGCTAATAGGTACATACTGGCTTTTTTCATGGGGACCTGCCCCCTAATACTGCTTTTGCTCTAGTCTTTTTACTTGCATTGATCTACCTGTCATCCAAAACTGAAACTATCACAAGCTGAATAGCTTAGCATAGATTCTAAGTAATGGAAAGAGGCTTAGAGATCCTAAAGTATAACATTTCCTAAAGTGTGTTCTGTAGAACACCACCCCTGCAAGCTGCTCTCCAAAAATGGCTCCATGGTCAGGTGAGCTTGGGATATGTGGCGCAGTCCACCCCTCCTGGCATCTGAGCTTATGAAAAGCTTGGCAATGTCACTTAGTAAGCAAACTATGTTAAACTCACATGGTAGATTTGTAGGGGGACTTGGGCCTCCCTTCCCAGACCACAGGATTTCTAAGGGAAAGTACTCTCAATTTCAAATCTAACTCTCCACAAATTGGAAGTGTTCTAGACATCACTGAATTTTCTTGATGATGGCAGATACTCATAAAAACATTTTTTTTTGAGCTGTAAAAGCTTTCCAAGGTCAAAGATGCAATAACTTTGCAATAAAAATGTGTATGTATTCATATATATCAGCTAAAATGTATACTTATAGCACTTTTTTTTCCAATTTGAGCAGCCCAGGGGAATGACTCATATCAAAAAAATTTTAAGGCTTCAAGACTAGACTGAATATTGAACTGTCCTATATAAAGATACAAAATCCATACTCAAAAAGGCTTTTTTTTTTTTTTTTTTTAAGTGCAAGCAAAGCTTGTTGCATCTCAAAATTGCTCAAAGGCCCTGTTCAAGGCTGGTGGCCTTTGTTACTATTTTTGAAGTTAGACAAACTGTTCACCTAGAGAGGATTAAAATGGTGGATTTGTGGTAGACGGTGAAAATCCTTTGGAGCTGATTCCAGCCAGAATCCTAAGCCAGAGTCCTAAGCCTGTGAATATCTACGGTAAATCAAACATCTGGGTGAAAAGCTAAAAGATGAAGCAATTCTCTGCATGCTTTCCAAATGTATCAGGGCCATCATGTTGATCCTGGAATGAAACAGTTGACTATTTTTCCCCCACGTTTCACCTCAGTATTCTGGCATCACAGATACACTACTAAAAATTCAAGGGGGCAGAAGGCCCGTAGGTATCATTTTTAGTTTGAATACAGGACAATGTTTTGGGTATGATCATAAAGGCCAATTTTATATTACTTTAAAAACTAATAAGTGCTGCAGTACTCAACAAGAGGCTGGAATTCATCCTGAAGAATATGACTAATGTTAACACTTAGTGAAAATGTTGCATGAAGGCAATATACCATTATAAGGCCTGCGGAGTCAATATTTTCTTTCTCTTGTTTCTATTTTATTTATTTATTTATTTATTTATTGCTTCTATTTTTTTCAGTTACCTTACAAAAGCAGTGGGAAAACTTTGGATCATAAATACATTTCTGGCAAATCTATTTAATATCTTTTAGAAGAAAGAAGGCCAGGTTGTCAATTGTGATGTAAACAGCCAAGGAGAGGGAAGAGGTAGGGAAGGAACATTGAACACCTGTTATTTATGAGGCACTCTCCATATGTTCCTTCATTTCACTCCTGATGAAAACGCGTGAGGTACAGATCCCTGTACCTGGTTTATAGACAAAGGAAATTGAGGCTCAGAAAAGTTCTACAACTTGTCTAACCCCAGGGTGCAGGAAGCAGAGCTGGCATGTGAACTCTGATCTGCCTCTTCTTTCTATGATACTAATCCAACTCCCATAGTAAAAGGTGTTTCATGCAAACCAAAAGATGTGTGGATAGAATGGGATTTTGCTCTTTACAGAAACAACTGCACTTCATAAGAATGGCAATTATGTTTAAGGCACCAGAAACCTAATGCTGAGACGACTTTAATCAACGCCATTGATCTCATGTAAACAGACACAACCAGAGATATTCAAAAGCAACCCTCGAGGGCTTTGCTTTCTAGTCCTTACTATTATCACATCCCACTTCTATCTTATTTTCCATTTACCTTCTAAAACAGAGGCAAGTTTTTAATATCACATGAACATTCTTTCCTGTTTTCAGTCTTCAAAAACTGAAAAAGATGTGTCACTTGTTCTGAGCAAATGCTCTGAACACGAGCCTGAGGTACCTTAGAATAGTGTATATTTTGGATTATGGTGGTCATTGGTCCCTGGGTGTCAGCCAGAGATGAAAAAGATTGTTCCAAGAAGTTTCACCCATGACACGGAACTATGGGCTGGCCTCCCAAGAATACATTATACTGCAGTTTCTCTGTAATTCTTTAAATATGTACATTTCAAACACACTGAACAGGGCAGACTTGTCAAGTTAAAGTGACATTTTAGAATTTTTCTGATTACAAATTATTTCACAATTGCAGCCATATCTGTTCTAGCTGCTCCACAGGCAGAATGCCCAATGTACTGTACTAGAGATATCCTCAAGAATTGGTACCATACCGAGGGTATCTATCTATCTTAATGGAACACCTGTTTGCTAGAATTGCTTTCATTTTTCAAGTTTGTAATATAAGGACTAATGTTTAGTCTAATGACAAATAGGACTATAAGTGGTGTGATGTAATAAGTATGTCATTACCAGACTAATTCTGAATAAGCAAATGAACCAAATCTTGGTGTTCCCAATTATTATATGTAGGTGTACAAACTGACTACTTTTCAATATAGAAAACTGCAAATAATGTACGAGGTACTGAAATTTATTTTTCTTCCCAACAAACCTGTACTATTATGCCCTACTATTTAGATATGGCCACCAGAGAAACCGGCAGACATTACTATGTTTTGAAACCAAAGAAAGAAAGGGATTTGTCAAATCTGAAAAATAAAGTTAGTAGTTGAGCAATAGCAGTTCAGATACCAAGGAGAAGTAGGAGTCTAAATTTAATGGGTGAGTGAAAATCTAGAAAAAGCTCAGAAAAACAGTCTGCAAAATACCTTACATTAGGCATACCTGAACCCTTGATAGACAAGCCAAGTATCTTAACTGTAAGTTGAACTTTCAATAAAATGCACATATATTTGGGGAAATATTTAATCTGTCCAAAGATGGTACTCACCACATCAAAGGCAGTAAACACATGACAGTAGTGGTGATTGGACTTCAAATCTTTTGTGATATAAGCAAACGTTGAGAGGTCTTCTGGGTCCTGGGCAGCACAGGAGATATTACGAATTTCATGCTCGGCAATTATGTTCTGGAAGAAATGACATAAATGACCATTATTTTCCTTGGCAAACCAGTACATTTTAGAACCAAGGCAAATGACTTGGGAATCAGTTGCCTCTTCTCTTTCTAGAATGTTCTAGATCAGCATCATTCAAAGTGATCCAACACGCTATCTGCGGGTAAATGAATACCAGGTCTGGAAGGAATGTTTTCATTTAATTAAAAACAACCTAATATAGTCATATCCTGGAGCAATGGTTCTCACCAGGTGCTGTGAGCAGAAGCAGTCTGGGTGGCAGACACTCTTTAAAAATATAGTAGTTATGAAGCAATTTAGTGTTTTGATTCCCCATATACACCTATAGATAGGCAGTGCTGCCTTTTGCTAATTCTGTCTGGGAAGGATCACCTGCCACATTCTGCATGCTGGGAGAAACTCTTCCCGTCTTGCTGCCCACTGTCTTGTGCCCTGCCCCTACTGCCCCAGAGCAAAGGCTGGTATAGAAGGAAGCAGGCAGGTGGAAGTGTCAAGGTCTTTCAAAAAAGTTTTGGGGGGTTTCTGGGTAGCTTAGTTGGTTAAGCATCTGATTCGTGATTTCGGCTCAGGTCATGATCCTTTTTTTTTTTTTTTTTTTTAAAATATTTTTATTTATTTCTAGGAGAGAGAGAGACAGACAGCGTGAGCAGGGGAGGGTCAGAGAGAGAGGGAGACACAGACTCTGAAATAGGCTCCAGGCTCTGAGCTGGCAGTCAGCACAGAGCCCGACGCGGGGCTCGAACCCACGAACTGCGAGATCATGACCTAAGCGAAAGTCGGACACTTAACCGACTAAGCCACCCAGGCGCCCCTGCTCAGGTCATGATCTTAAGGTTGTGAGATTGAGCCCTTGCTTGGCATTCTCTCTCTCTCTCTGTGCCCCTCCTCCCCACTCATGCTCTCATTCTCTCTCAAAATAAACAAACGTTAATTTTTTTTAAATGTGAGTTTAGTTGACACTGTTACATTAGTTTCAGATGCACAATGTAGAGATTTAACTTTTCTGTACATTATGCTATGCTCACAAGTACAGCTACCATCTGTTACCATACAGCGTGACAATGACAAGCAATTCTGAATTGCTTACTCAGAATTAGTCTTATAATGACAAACTCATGATATTATACCACCTATAGTCCTATTTGTTATTAAGTCTAAACATTAGCGCTTATATTATTGACTTATCTTCCTCATTCTGTGCCTCTTATGCCCATGACTTACTTCTTCCATAACTGGAAGCCTGTACCTCCCACTCCCCTTCACCCATGTTGCCCATCCCCGTACTCCCTTCCCTCTGACAACTCTGTTTTCTGTATTTATAGGTCTGGTTCTGCATTTTGTTTATTCATTTGCTTTATTTTTAGATTCCACATGAGTGAAATCTGATGGTATTTGTCTTTTTTCGTCTGACTTATTTCACTTAGCATAATACCCTCTAGGTCCATCCATGTTGTTGCAAATGGCAAGATCTCATCCTTTATATGGCTGTGTAATATTCCATTGTGTATCTATATACATGCGTGTGTGTGTACACACACACACACACACACACACACACAATCTTCCTTATCTAATCCTCTATTAATGGACACTTAGGTTGCTTCTCTGTCTTGGTTATTATAAATAATGTTGCAATAAACATAGGGGTACATATATCTTTCTGAATTAGTCTTCTCATTTTCTTTGGGTAAATACTCATAGTAGAATTACTGGATCATATGGTATTTCTATTTTTAATTTTTTGAGGAACCTCCACACTGTTTTCCACAGTGGCTGCACCAATGTACGTTCCCACCAACAGTTCAAGGTGCTCCCTCCTGAAGACTCTGGAGGCTAAAGGGTAGAGAAACAACTACCTGGCATTATTCAGGTCTTGGATCCTCTGCTTGATGCACAGCCCCATGGGTGACAATACCTTACTCACTACACCCACTGTGCAGAATTATGAGTGGGCGCTGTGGCTATCATTATCATCCTACAGGTGGGGAAGCTGGCACTCAGTGTGAGTACCTTATGCAGGATGGGTGGTGGAGTTAGGACTAAAATGTAAGGTTGTCTGACTGTAGAGTTTAGGCTCTTTCACATGCTGCAGGGCCCCTTATCGCCACCTCTCCTTCACTGGTTTAGCATAATTTCATTTTTTTCTCTCTAGTATTTCTTCATGGCATCTCCCTGCCAGCCCCCTCATTCCAACGAGCCTCTAAGAATAACTGGTGGGAGGTAAGTGAAGAAAGGTTTAAGTATCATTATCCTGAAGCACAAAATAACCAAGGAGCATCATCTTGGCTGCAAACCCTGCTAGAAATTTCTTTTGATACACAGATGTATTTAAAAAGCAAAAAAAAAAAAAAAAAAAAATTCACATAATCATGCAATCATTTTTTATCTTATAATATCCCATTTATGTTTCTTCCAGTTGTCATAGATCTAAAATCCTCAATACTTTAGTTACGCTAATTACTTTTTAATTACACAGTCTTAAATAACCTGTTGGCAATAAAATGTTCCATGTAAACCCATCAATGCCTAAAAATGCTTACGAAATGTCCTTCCCTGCCAGCACCCCCAGCAAGTACTTCATGTCCCTAACTCTACTGAGCTGTGTGGCGGGGAAGCAATTACAGAATTAACACATAAAAGAAAATTAAATTAAGACATTCTTCACTATGGCCCTGTATGTTGACACTACATGCAGCGCTCTGTCAAAAATAACTCAATCTGAAACTGGAATCCCATAAACAAATAACATTCTATTGTAAGGTACAGTTTCAAAATAGAAGGTCACAATCTTTGAAATGCATTCAGATAGCATTTCAAATAGAAGACTAAATTAGGAACTAGTCAGTCTTAAAATGAATTTAAGAATCTACATAGTCTTGAGGCCCCTGGATAACTCAGTTGGTTAAGCATATGACTCTAGATTTTGGCCCAGGTCATGATCTGCGGTTGTGAAATTGAACGTCATGTCAGGTTCCATGCTGAGTGTGGAGCCTGCTTAAGACTCTCTCTTACCTGCTCATGTTCTCTCTCTAAAAATAACAAAAAATAAAACAAAAAACAAAAAAATAAAAAGAATCTACAGAGTCTTCACAGGGATGGTGTTTGCAAGTGCTGAGAGTCTCCATCATCATTTTAATTGGGGGCCGCCATTACCTCGGGGAGTGTGGATTTGGTCTCACCTATCCAAGATCCACTGTCATCAGAAATGGAGCACTGGCTCTGATTTTTAACTAAATTGGCATTTTGTTTTCTTGAGATCCTTTACTAGAATTTGGTAGATTGGAAGATCAACTTCTTGGGAAAGTATTATAGTGAAAAGTACCCTGTCATTTTTTTAAAAAACAGTATTTTTTGAGAGAGAGAGAGAGAGAGAGAGAGGGAGGGAGGGAGGGGGGGGAGGGAGAGTGCCAGCAAGCATGAGTGGGGAGGAGGTACAGAGGAATAGGGAAAGAGAGAATATCCATACTGAGCTCAGAGCCTGATGTGGGGCTTGATTCTGTGACCTGGGATCATGACCTGAACTGAAATCAAGAGCCGGATGGATGCTCAACTGACTGAGGCACCCAGGAGGCCTGCCCTCTTATTTTTATTGTACTGAATTCCCTGAATCACTTCTCAACCATCTTCAGTGGTAAGTGACAGCATCACGGCCCTGGACAAAACTATAAAGTAGGTGAAGTATATCTTTGGAGATCTCCCTTTATTACGGATTGCATGTCTGTGTCCTCTCCAAATTCATATCTTGAAATCTTAGGAACCCTGAAAACTTAAGCCTTGATATGATCGTATGTGGAGGGGGGCCTCTAGGAGGTGGTTAGGTTCTGAGGATGGAGCTCCCATGATGGGATTAGTGCCCTTACAAGAGAAGAGAGACCTAGCTAGCTCTCTCCGCCATGTGAGGAGTGAGGACACAGCAGGACGATACCATCTATGAGCCAGGGAATGGGCTCTCATCAGATACTGAATCTGCTGGTAACTTGATCTTGGACTTGCCAGCCTCCAGAACTGTGAGAAATAAATGTGTATTACTTAAACAACTCAGTCTACGTTAATTTGTTATAGCAGCCCAAATGGATGAAGACATTTCTCCTTTCTTGCCATTCCCCCAATTTTCTGGAACCCACCACTTCTGTATTCCCCAGGAATGCAGGGCTGTCTTTTGGCTGGCCATAGAGGCTGCCCTCTTCTGTGGTGCTCCATGTTCCCAAATCAGCCTCCTCTCCAACTACTGGAACTCTGCTGCTATGATCTAGAGGGAAGGCTGCTAATAAATGTATTCTATATTCAGTTAAGAATAAATGCTGTTTAATCACTGTTTAAACTGGCACTTTAAAAATATGCTGTTAAAAATCAAAACGACACTGAGATATCACCTCACGCCAGTCAGAGTGGCTAAAATGAGGAAATCAGAGAACTCTAGATGCTGGCGAGGATGTGGAGAAACGGGCACCCTCCTACACTGTTGGTGGGAATGTAAACTGGTGCAGCCCCTCCAGAAAACAGTGTGGAGGTTCCTCAAAAAATTAACAATAGAACTCCCCTATGACCCAGCAATAGCACTGCTAGGAATTTACCCAAGGGATACAGGAGTGCTGACGCATAGGTGCACATGTACCCCAATGTTCATAGCAGCCCTCTCAACAATAGCCAAAACATGGAAAGAGCCTAAGTGTCCATCAACGGACGAATGGATCAAGAAGATGTGGTTTATCTATACCATGGAATACTACATGGCAATGAGAAACAATGAAATGTGGCCATGTGTAGCAACATGGATGGACCTTGAGGGTGTTATGCTGAGTGAAATAAGTCAGGCAGAGAAGGACAAATGTCACATGTTTTCACGTATAGGAGGATTAGGAGGAACTTGACGGAGGACCATGGGGGAGAAGAAGGGGAAAAATAGTGGGGGAGAGGGAGAGAGGCAAACCATGAGAGACTCTTAAATGCTGAGAACAAACTGAGGGGGGCATGGAGAGGGGCACTTGTGGGGATGAGCACTGGATGTTATATGGAAACCAACTTGACAATAAACTATTTGTAAAAAAAAAAAAAAAAGAAAAAAAGAAAAGAAGCAATGAACATAAAAAAAATATGCTGTTAATTGAATTCATATTGATGGTTTGGGTAGGGAGGTATTGTTGAACAGAACTTCCTGATCTTTCTGCAGGGCCAGAGTGTGGTGAGGTTCAAGGTCTCACATTCAAACACTGCCACCTCTCTGCACTGTCTACCTTTGCAGAATGATGAGGCCGGTTCTCCATGCGTGAGATGCATCGGAGACCAAGGACTCCAGCTGGAGACAGCATGAAGATTGGATGGCTGGTTTCCCACATGGAGAAGATGTCTAGTAGGGACACATTCTTTCCACTTCCTGTCACACATCAGTTGGTGGCTCTTCCATAAATTAAAAGTGAACATCACCATAAGGCACAGGTGATGTACCTCAGCTTACAATGGACTCCTCTTATGTTGCTCAGCCTCCATATCTAAGCATGTAGTAAGGATACTAGAGCTTTTAAAAGACTCAAAAGAAGGAGTGAGGAGGGGCTTACCCTGCCGCTTCTTTGGGATAGAAAGTTTGACAGCCCAGTTTCTTGCAACAAGGAGAGATTGTTTTTCTTGTCTGTTGCCTTTTATCACGTTGAGAAACAGCTAAACAGGTGCCTGGCTGGTGGGTGTAGAGTAGAATTGTCTGGTCCAGCCAATTAACAGAGAGGTTCTAAGAAGGGCATGTGATGTTGAAGTGATGGGCGCGAGAAGTCAGCTTCCTCCCCACCTACCTTCCTCTCCCCTCCACCCCTGCCCCCTGCTTCCCTCACTCATGCCTCTGACAGGCAGGGCCTTTCTCCTGGGTCTCTTCCTCAGGCCAGGCCTTTGCCGAGAGAATGCAGTGCCCCTGCAGAGAAGGGGTCGGACATAGAGGGATCAGAGGGGACCTGTAGAGAAGCTGATGCAGATGAGAACAGCACACATGCTTAATGGGCTCTTAATCTGACTCTGAGCTTTTTAGAAGAAGTATGTGCTATATATATAAAAAAAAGAGCACTTGTTTAGGCAAATGTTCTGAATTATTTTGTGCTTAAAAAATAGCATAAGCCTTGTTTGAAGTTGGCGTTCAAAAAGCAAACAAACAAAAAGCAAACTCCAGCAATGCACTGTTCCTAATTTAGCTGGATGGAAAGATTGAGGAGGGGGTCAGAGAGGGAAGGCAAAATGCAACCCACTCTCAGCCAAGCATTGGACGTGGGGACTGTGTCACCTCTTGCAAAACACTGCTGGTCTGAAGATAGGTCAGTAACCAGTCAGAGACCTCTGGGCCAAATGCCATGCTAGAATTATCTCTGGGCTGCGGATCTACAGAAAGTTGGTGTGCTTGATCTACATGTAAGGACCAGATCTATTCCAAGTTCTATTTAAAATATTTTTTTAAAGTTTATTTTTTATTTTTGAGAGAAAGTGAGAGAGAGCGAGCGAGAGAGCGAGCGAGCAGGGGAAGTGCAGAGAGAAGGAGACACAGAATCCAAAGCAGGCTCCAGGCTCTGAGGGTTGGGTACAGAGCCTGACACGGGGCTTGAACTCATGGATCACGAGATCACGACCTGAGCCAAAGTCAGAGGGCCAACAAACTGAGCTCCCCCAAGTTCCATTTTTAATTCAAGACTATTTTCTACTTCTTCCTTCTTAAATCACGATTAGTGGTTCAATTTGTTTCCTAAGTTTCCGGGCAATACACTTGCAAGTTTCTACCTAGGCACCCGACCCTTCCCCATGAAGTGGCCAAAATCACTTATTTATTAGAGGAAAAGGAAAGAAGTGCTCTGCTGGAGGGCTCATCTATCACAATCTAATGGGTGGTAATAGGAATGGAAGAGGAGCACACACTGAAAATTAACTGGTGGCCTGGTGGCTGAGGAGGAACAGAAAATGTGTTAGAGAGTCAATCCTTTTCCATGACCAACTGGCTGTATGAGTCACTTAGAAGAGACTCTGAGGTGTTCCATTCCTCCCCATGTGTCGTGCAGGATGAACAACCCCCTCTACCTCTCTAGAGCAGAGTAAGAGAAACGCAGTGGTCAGGAGAGGACCGTCTAGGTAGGAATAAAACACGATGGAATCATCAGATATGAAAATTAAGTTGTGACTTTCAGGTGTGCCTTACTACAGGCTTAGTTGGCCACTAGTACCTCATGTTGTGAGGTCTTCTAATATGCCTCCACAAGTCCTTCAAGTCAAAGTGGCCCAGTGAGACAACACCTCCCAGGGGAGAAATTTCTGCCTCAAACTGAAATCAGGACTCTGGCACTTATCACTCTGTTCCTTTTCTGTTGTGAGTGTTAATCAGAGGTTTTTGGTCTTTGCTACAGAACAAGGCAACAAGGCAGTATATGAAGATGCAATGTGGACTCTGCTGGAGTCTAGATGGCTGAGCATAGAGCCCTTCACACCACAACTTGAGAATGGTCCTTCAACAGTAGCTCTTCCATGCCTTCTAGAACCAGTCCTTCAGCCCTGGCTGGTGGTAATGTTTCTCAGCTTTCTGTAGTCAAATCCCACCAATGCAGCCCTGACACTATTTCTTTCTTCTACACTCCTAATACAATCTCTCTGCTTTGGCTTCTCACACACCAAGTATCAGACTGTGGTCCTGAGTCACCCACTCTCTCCCTATCCACTGCTGTGTCGGGGCAGATTAACTGCATTACAGGACACTGTGATGGGGACACTGTGTAAGTGTCAGTGTTGAAGTCAATGTCCCCAAATTCCTGAAAAAGCCAGGCACATGTTGTCATGGAGAGGTTGGCTCTGCCTGCCACTAATACAAGCACTTTGCTTTTGCTCTAGATTTTGAAAATACGCTGAGGACCACACAACAAGAACTTGGAAGATATGCTGGCCTTCTTTAGTGTTCTAATTCACATAGAATTATCTTTTGCATATTTTTCAGTGCTTATACTTCCAGACAACAGTCATCAGTGAGCAGAGATTTATGGATAACTCCTCTAGTTACTGGTGACTGAAGCAGAAGGCTCTCCTCTATGTTTGCGGGGACTAAGTTCTATAACCCTGATGTGTCCATGAGCAAAATGCAACAGAATCGACAGAGCTCTCTTGCCTCTGGTCATGAAGACTGGAATGGAGAAGATGCTACTGACACAGATGCATCCAGTCACACCACCAGCTTCACAGAATGACAGCCTTAAGACTCTGGAAACGTCTCAGGGCAAATACTACTTGTTTAGAAACTGTCAGAACCCACGACTGCTTAGGTTGGTAATCTAAGAGAGTGTCAAATTCTTACTGTTAACAGTAGAAATAGACTACCGTTCATGGTTTTTCAAATGCAAATGGGGTAGAGACAGTTGCTCTAGGTTAGGGGAAAAAACCCACAGGCCATAGGCTTTTTTTTTTTTTGAAACTTACAAACAGTGATAGCAATCAGGTATCATCAATGAGAGGTTCATAAAGTTCCAAGACTTTAAAAACCAATCGGACTATAATTTAAGGATACAGAAAGTTTGTTCACCGGTAACTGAAGTTGTTTCCAACTAATAAAAGAGCAAATCAATTGGGATTTTTCTGATTAGAATCTACAGAGCTATAATCCAACAACAGTAACTATCAACAATATATTGCAGACTTGAAACTATCATTTCACATAAGGAAGGCATCTGACTCTGTGCTTTGGAGATCAGCAGCCTACATAATCATGCTGGGTTATAAGCTTTCTGCTCTGGTTTCAGAACTGTTTCTAAAACTGGAAGGTTGCTCTCCCAGGTAGATCTGGGGAGCCCGGGCTTGTCTAACTGCTGATAGAGCAATCTTCTTTGTTACAGAAAACAAATCAGGAAAACTCCGAACTGGTTGAATCAGATGCTCAGGTTTATTATAGTTAACCCAAGAGTCACTGCCCATGGCACTTCTGGTGGCTAAATCCAGTTGCCCTGGCCCTAAGTTACTACTGTTTAGTTCACTTGTTTCATGACTTCTGTTCCCTTTCTCCAAAATGGAGTGGGTATAGGTGGGGGGTACTGAGTAGGGGGTCCAGAAAAGAAATGGTATTCACCAATGGGGATCACCTCATTTTCCCTTTTTCTAGAGTTTATCAGTTGGGAGGATATAGGAATAAAACACAGGGGCATCTGGGGGTCCTGTGAGGAGGAGTCCATCAAGTTTCAAGTTCATGGGGAGCGACAGCGGTCACACCCAGGAGTTCTAGTCTAGCACTGGCACTCTGTCACCTTCGCCAAGAACGGAACTCTGGGACACTTAAGTCAAATGCAACCCAGTTGTTCACATGTGACCTTAGGGCCCATGAACGGCTTCCACTGTGAGTACAAAGTCACAACAGAGTCACAGTGTGGCCTGAGCTTCTTTCTGATTGTGCCTCCTCAGAAAACAATGCGGGTGAAACCCTCTGTCCCATCTCAAGAGCTGAGAAGAAACGCAGTTATAAAATGTAAAAGTCAGGGAATGTGTACCTTGTGTCAGCTGTTTATTACACATATAAAGAGAAAGGACATCTATATCTCTAGAGAAATGGGGGGACGAACGTCTTCGTCCTTTAGCTAGTAACATTTCCTCTGATGAAAGGGTGATGGCTTTTTGCATTGTCATTCTATACATGACTCCCCACCCCCTGTAATGTTCTCTAGAGCCAGAGGGAAGTACCAGATACTAAGTGGCCACAGTCTATTAGAGAAGGCACCACAGAAAAAGCAGAGTATGTATAGGAATCCTAGATCAAGTCCCCCAGATGAAATGTGCCCTTTTGTATAGATGTAGGAATGTGTGTGTGTGTGTGTGTGTACGTGTGTCTATGGGTGTTCAGAGAGCAGACAGGTGGGGGCAGGGAGTGAATAAAATGGGAGATGCTGGGCATGACGAGATGCAAAGGATTTTAGATTGTAAACTCAGGACTGTATCTGGTATCTTAAGGCAAAGAGAGATGTGCTACTCACCTTATTTGTTGCATCAATAAATTTGACTCCTTTATAAGAGACTGAAAGAATAATAGTGGGGACCTTCTTCATTTGCTCCGTAGACTTCTGAAATTAAAATTAGAAAGCTGTTAGAGCAGTTTGTGTTGCATGGCAACTGAAGCACATAATTTCTCCTCTTGGCAGATAAAAATGAACCCAAGTTAAAAACAACACACACACACACACACACGCACAATCAAACACACACCAAACACACTAATTTAAATGTAGGTCTCTCTTCTCTTGGGCTTAGCTGTGGTTTGGGCTTCTAAAGTGTCTGTCTTGCACTTGAGGATCTAAAAACAGCTTGTTCTGCTGCCTCCGTGGGTGAAGGAATACTCCTTTTCCCCGACACCAAAGGGAGAAATGGACATCTCTGTCGCCTACTGCAATTTCAAGCAACACTTCTTTGACTAGAGCTAAACCATGTCAGCGTTACCTCCAAGGGTGAGCTTAGCATTAGCAAAGTATGTGCTGCTGCTCCCCTTCTCCTGGCCACTCTTGCTTCAAGACAGGACTTCAAGGCTTTTTAACTATCTGAACGTGTGGCCAAAATAGGGGTTTAAAATACATCATTGTGAATTTTTTTTGAAACCCAGTCAAATCCCTAAGAGCTGGTATATTTACAGCACCATCACTTGTGACCACGTGGGATAGAATACCGCCCTACAACAACTGAGCCCTCTGGGAACAGCATGTATTTTGAGCCACAGCAAAACTGGACAGTCCAGGTAACAACCTACTTTATCATTCAGAGCTGCTGTATTTCCTTAGGCTATGTGCTTATGATGGATGTTCACTCTGGCTTAATGTGCTCAGAGTCTTCAGCTTCTATAGTTTTATGCATCTGCAAAAAGTTTCTCCACAATTTAGTATGTGTCTTTTCTGTTTAGTTTTATCATTCATCACGGGTCACCAACAGTCTGTGTACTTCATTTTCCACTATGGATCCTCCTAATAATCACATTAAACATCAAGAAGAACCTACCTGACAGTTAGCCTGATGGGTTTTCCAGATAAGACAGGTGGGAACAAAATAGGAGAGAAAATACATAAAAAGGTGAGGAAACTGTTTCAATAATTCACCAACAGCATAAGGTCATTAAAAAGTGAATGGAGAATAAGCTTTATCGATACATACAGATGCAGTGAAACTGTTATTTTAGGAATGGCTGTGGGCTTTTACAGACCTCGTCTCTCCTTTTCTGTTTTCTAATTACTCTATTTATCACACTGTCTAGTCTCACAACTGACACACCAGAACCCTCCACATCCAGTGTCCCACAATACCTGTCTCATGGATATTAAGGGAATCAGGAGAAAATATTACCCAATTTGCCATTTTAAAATTCTGCAGTGTGACTGGAATTAAAGAAGGCTTTTAGTTGGATAGTGTGATTGAAACTCACTGAACTCTAAAATAATAATTATATTACATCTTTCACTTGAGCCACAGAAAATGTGTTTCACATTTTCCTGATTGTTTTGACATATCTTTTGGATAGCTACTGTACCTGTTTTAAAGACAGAGAAAATAGATCAGTAAGAGTGTTACTATTTAGTATTTATTAAATGTTTCATACAGTATAGAAAAAAAAGTAGCACTCTTTAAGTGCTTTTAACTAGTTTTAAAATTACCCAAACTTGCTAGTTTTTTTCTGTCATTGCCAAAGAGATTTAGATACTTTTGTCTTTTTAATGCTTTATACAACCAACTTTTAAAAGTGTGCAAGGTAAATCAAAGGCAAAGGCAAACTTTTTAAAAAACTTAAAAAAAAATCAGTGTGCTGATTTTAAGGCAAACTCATGGGCTGAGCTCTGTAAAGACAGAGCTATAGCTGGCACCCACAGGCAGTGGCTTGGTGGACTGAATGAGTGTGTGAGAATTCTCTGCAGAGTAACAATGGATTGCAACAAATTACCTCACTCCTTGCCATGAATATATTCTCTCAGACAGATCTATCCACACCATCAAACAATATAAGATTAAAAGATCAACATTTCATTTAGTATTAAGAAAAGCCCCAAAGGGAGAAAACAAAACCATTTGTCATTCATTCAGCAATTGAGTGGTTATAGTAGGCAGCCCACTGTGTTGGGAAAGCTCAGAGTCTACTTCAGGGCACGTCACACAGACCTCAAGCTGTGTGCAAACTACAGTCTGCAGCAAGTGGCCGTCCCAAGTGTGGTATTGAGAAGACTGTGAGCCTGTGTCTGGGCTCAGTGGGAAAGGGGGCTGGGAATGAGGTCTGCCATGCAACAGGGAAAGCAAGAGGCAGAGCTACACACCACGTTCCGGGCCTGGTCTGCCACAGAGAGAAGCCACGATACAAATGCTGATAAATGCAACAGTGATACAGAGTGCCTCTAGAGAACTGAGCAGAGAGAGCCTCACTTTGCAGGAGAGAGTGGGGCAAGTCTTCATTATTCACTTGACAAGTGCTGACTGCCTGCTAGGGCTGACTGAGCTGTTCTTTCTTCTTTTTTTTTTTAATTTATTTTTTAAATTTACATCCAAGTTAGTTAGGATATAGTACAACAATGATTTCAGGAGTAGATTCCTTAATGCCCCTCACCCATTTCGCCCCTCCCCCTCCCCCAACCCCTCCAACAACCCTCTGTTTGTCCTCCGTATATAAGTCTGTTTTTGTCCCCCTCCCTGTTTTTATATTATTTTTGCTTCCCTTCCCTATGCTCATCTGTTTTGTATCTGAAAGTCCTCATATGAGTGACTGACTGAGCTGCTCTAAGAGGATGAACTGGGATTTTCCAGGGGCCAAAAGAGGACAAAATAGGCTGTTTTAGCAGAAGCATCAACATACGCACATGCCTGGAAATGAGAAATAATGTGGTGGGTTTGGGTAACTGGTGGAAGATGAAGCGGGTACAGTAGGTTTGGAAGGTTGTGACATACTCCTCCCATTTAGAATCCCCTGGAAGCTTTTAAGTAGGGAGGGACGCAATCAGAGCTGTGTTGCAGAAAGCCAGTGCTGGTGACTGGATGGACAGCTAGAGGTTGAATGCAGGAAGGGGAGGTGCAAACTCAAACAGGAGACCCTAAGCACCTGAGCTGAAACAGAAGTGCAAGAATGGAAGAGGGAGCCATAACTCCGATGAAGACGACTCAAGAGGCTCTGCTAACCCATCTGCTATGAAAAATGAGTGAGCAAGAAGAGGTCACAGATGAAGAGATGGTTAACTGAGATAAGGTATACTACAGGTGAACATGCTTGTGCATGAAAACCCCTTGAACACTGGTAATCAGGTGGAGATGTCCAGTAGGAATAAGAATCCGATCTGGAAATCTATGCACATAGCAGGGGTGCCTGAGGAAATGGGAGCAGATGAGGTGGCTCAAGGAGAGATCAAGAAGAAGGCTAAGAATCCTGTCTGGGGAAGATGATCCTTAAGGGGTGGGGCAGAAAGAAGCATCAAAGAAGCTGAAAAGAGTTGGAAGATGCCTGAGTTCAGTATCGCAGAAGTCAAGGGGCAGATTCCTTAGAAGGTGGGAGCAGTGTCTAATGCCAAGGGGACTGAAAACGGCTAAAAATCGAAGCCCGGCATTGTGGCTGACACACGTAGTCGCTGCTACATGTATTGGGTCTTCTGGGTGAGGTCCTTGGCTTTGGCAACTAGGACAGTTTGTTGCTGATTTTATGAAGAGCAGCGTGAAGAGAATGGTGGCGGCAGACAGAGGAAAGAACACAGAGGGGTGTGCTGTGATCATCAGTGAGAGGGAGTGGAGGGCTGGGGCAACGGACGGGCTGGGATACGGCTCTCCAGCTGAAATGAAGGCATCAGTGGCGACTTCTGTCCCTATACAAGGGTTCTACCTCATACGCTCAGCCAACATGGCCACAGAAGACCAGAGAAAAGGTGGTCGTGTCCTTTTTGTCCAGGTGCCCAGAGCCCCTGCTCTCCTAACTGGAGGCCTCACTGGCGTGCCCCGGCTGCAGGCTGTGTGCAGGCCACCGTGGACGGCAGTGCCGGCCGTGTCCATGCAGTCTAACCTGGAGCCCAAACTGAGCTGCTCTCCCACGGTGCGCGTGACAAGAAGATGATGGACCCTGGCTGGCTGCAGAGCCACTCTGGCAACTCTCCAAAGTCATACCTCCCCTTTAAGGCATTTAAAATTCTGGAGATAGAAATCCAAACTGTTTTAGAAGATTTTCTGTTGATATACTTTGACGAGCTTTCAAAGAGGTCTTTTCATACGCTATTTTAATGAAAGACGAAGACGCATCGAAGAAAGCAAATATACCGAGTCTTTAGGGGGAATAATCAGGCAAGAAATCCAATAAGTGCGACTTCATTTTGTGAAGGCTGTACAGACACCAAAATGTGAGTAGGGCTCCTGTCCAATCACAGACAGCCCACGTCCCGCCATCTCCATTTTCTCTTACGTGTTACAATTATTGTTTTCTTCTCCTTCCCAGGGATGGAGGCACTTAGTCTGGACTGACATCACTGCTCAAGTTACAAAGCGCTTACTCTCGGGTGACACTGGTCTCTGTGACCTATCTGCAAGCTTTGCTGTGATTCTGGTAGTTAATGCTCACATATATGTATGTATGTTGAACATTCAAGCCGTATTGATCTGTATAAACAGAATTATCTTCTTCAGGCCCTTTCCCCCAGTGAAATGCTCAGGGAAAACCTTATGTTATGGCTCTATTTTGTTTCTAGTTTTTTTTTTTTTTTTTTCCTACACCATATTCTTTGTGGACTTTCTGAGGCTTCCCTGAGCCCTCAAATTCCCTCCCCTTCAGTGCCAACTTTACAGGAGAGATTCATTTGTATGAGGACCTTTGGATACCTAAGCAGCTGAATACTCACGGGTAATACCCAAAATTAACTTAACTTTCATAGCATCTTGCTCTCCTGCTAAGAGCATTATAGTGATATTCAATTGTATTTTGTTCAGTTTCCCAAAATAAGATTATCATCCTTTTATTACTCTGAGAGAAACAATATTTAGTTATATAGGGATGCTACCTTTCTGAAATCCAAAATAAAGTGCAACTTTTGAATCTTAAATGCAAAGCCAGCTTTATATTTAGCACTTGGATTTATATTATCTGTAAGCATTTACATAGAATAGGGCTTGTAATTTCATATCTGGGGGTGGGCACCTGAGATACTGTTCTTAATAGGTAAAGTAACTAAACACTTTTAGAACATTTTTTTAAGAGGGATTTTTGGATACACCAAGGAAAGTAATACCATCTTTTTTTTCCCCTTTCCTTTTAAACTATATAAATTATGCACTGCTTGGAATCTTTGTATTGGTACTTTTATTTTATCCTTATAGCATGCTCCAAGAAGGGACATTTTCTCCTTTTCCAATGCAGAGTCAACAGTATGAGAATATCCTTTTGAGACTGCAGGGATGCTCTGGTCTCGGAGCATGGCTTTCCTAAGTGTCAGCGAGAGCAAAGAGGTTCACAACAGGGAGCACTTCAAGCGTGAGCCGTAATGTTGTGTTTGAGTCTGGAGTGATGTTTATGTTCCTAATGAGAATCATTTTGTGCCCCATAACCAGTACAGAGAGGGAACAGAGTGAGGCGGCCCATGGGGAGGATGTCGCCAACCCTTCATTCTTACAATATCCTGCTCATTTCCAGTGTATTTTAAACACAGACTGGGGAATAGATTTCTGGATGGGCTACTACCATCCAGCTCACACTACATTTTTAACCTACACATGGCTACCCTGAGAGTGCTTTCTAGTTAGATATTCAGTGCTGAGTCATAACTATTAATTGTGCCATATAATATTTTCTTCAGTTTGTCTCAAAGCTTGATTATTACATTCAGTTTCAGCAACTAAATTAAAATAGGATCAATCATGTTTGGTAGCCTTAAGTGCCTTTCAAATGATTTAAAAAATGTAGAAAACAAGCAGTATCGTATTTTGTATTCAGTGAAACTAGATATGCTGCGGAGGTTGTAAGAGAGAGAAAGCAGACCACAGACCTGCCATTTGAAATGTGCCTTTAC